TATATAGAAGTTGAAATTGGTGTGTTCTCTGGAATACATGGAATCTAAACTCTGACAGAACTCACTTCCCAGCTGAGGGTAAAGGATGAAAGGTTAGACTTTTTATAGCACCCTTTCAAGTAATAGTATTTGTCCCGCACTAAAAAAAAATCTTACCTGTCAATAAGTTGATACTTTGAACCTGGGATATTGGAGGTTTTACTTTATGGCATTATCAAGGAAGAATTATATACTAAGATAAGTTGATTCAGATTCTTAATTTCACTGTATCTTGCCATATATATTCATATTCCCATTTGCCTTGTCATTGGGAAACATTTTCATTGAACCTTCAGGGGAAGTTAGGAGTTCAAAACAATTCTGTATATAGGTGTACGCATCCAACTAATTCATTGTGTTCTGTTGTCATGCTCAGATATTTGCATGTAGAAATACATGCTACTTTTTTCAAAAATATAAATTATTCTCCAGGGAGAATAATTATAACTTCTGCTTAATGACTAGCAAGTACTAGTGATTCTATTAGGTGATTTTATGCTGTTTATAATCCTTTCAACAGTTGTACAAGACAACTCTATAGTTCATTTTATCCTCTTTCTAATCTTTTCAACAAATTATATAAGGCACATAATGAGATTTGTGTGCCAAATGCAGAAACCAAAATATAGTTTAAGAAACTGTGTGTTAGGAATGAGACACAGACACTTCCTTTGAAATCCATCAGGAGAAGGTGATGATGGCTATAATATAAGATACAGTCTGAAAGTTTCTCTAAGATGAGGTACTTATGTCTTTGACAATTTGGAGAATGGAGAAGTTACTTTCAGCTGGAAGACTGAAGATTACTAGGGTATGAACTTGAAGAGATAGGAAATTGGGGAAAAGGTATCCAGGCTGAGGAAAGAGCATGGAGCAAATTCCAGGAGATTGAATGTCTGGGGAAAAGAATAGTTTGGTTTGGTGGGAGGGAAAGGGGAGTGGTAGGAAATGAACCAGGAACCCTAAGTTAGTGGCCAAGGAAAAGAATTTGTTCTTGATTCAATAGGGAATGAGTCTTTTAAGACCTTTGCACAGGAAAGTGTGCCTCAGGAAGATTTGGTGTTGTAAATAAAATGGATTAGAGTAGAGAGAGATTGTTGGTAGGCAGATCTATTTTAAGGCATTGTGGTAAGTAATACCAGCAAAAGATAATAAGGACTAAAATTATTGTAGCAAGAATAGAAGTGGTAGGAAGGCGGGGACAAAAAATAATAGATAACACTTACATAATCATGGTTACTATGGGTGTTATAAGAGCTTCACATATATTAATTTGTTTAGCTCTCAAAACAGTGCTGTGTATGATATGAGTAATATTACTATCCCAGTTTTACAGATGAGGAAATTAGAACTTTTCAGGATTGATTAAAGGATAGTAATTTGTTGCTAGACCTATTAAATTATGGGACATTAGTGCAATGGAATATGATGAAACCATGATAATTGATGCCATAGAAATATTTCTATTGCTTTGAAAACATGTTCACTATGTATTAAAACAGGTTTACAAGTAGATACAATATTTCTGTTTTGTTCCATTTTGAAGGAGTGTATGCTAATTATCAATTTTAAACTTTTTTTATGTAGTAAAAAAAAAAAGTGTATGTTTCGTCCTTTACTCCCACTCCCCAAGGGTAGTTATTGTTAATAGCTTGGTGTAAGTATCCTTCTAGTTATTTTCTTTTTTTAAAAAAGATTTTATTGGGGAATTGGGGGAGGGGAACAGCACTGGGGAATCGGGGGAAGGGGAACAGACAAGTTGCTGTTGTTTTGTTCTTCATTCTAGTTGTGGAGGACGTTGCTTCACTGGCCCAAGCTGGCACCATCATTGCGCTCTTCCCGGGCGAGGCAGATCAGTTGCTGGCCTCTGGATGGCCGCTCACAGCAGCTGCTGGCCGCTCACGCTGGCTGGCGGCTACACACGGTAGCTTATGGCAGCCCACTGCAGCAGGGGCTGCAGCCTATGCCGTTGCCGGCGACCCATGGCAGCCCAGCTCCAGGTCGAGCTGTTGTTCAGCATCTTAGCTGTAGAGGGCAGTGTCACTGGCCCTCATATGTGGGATCTGAACCGTGGCCCTCTGGCATCCCAAGCCAGCTCTTAACCAATGCGCCACTCAGCCGGCCCCTAGTTATTTTCTTATGCACATATAACTATACAGTCAATGTAAATTTTATTTTATCAACATGATATATGCATATAGTTTTGTTTTTAAAGAAATGTTATTGGGGAACAGTGTGTTTTTTCAGGACCTGTCAGCTCCAAGTCAAGTAGTTGTCTTCAATGTAGTTGTGGAGGGTGCAGTTCCTTGGCCCGTGTGGGAATCGAACCGGCAACCTAGGTGTTATGAGCCTGTGCTCTAACCACCTGAGCTAACCGGCCACCCCTGCATATAGTTTTAAAAGTCATTGTGCAAAAATTCTTATAACAAAGGAGAGCATCACTGTGTTCTCCATCCTGCTCTTTTTCTTTTCTTCATGAATCTTTTTTACTTAAAATATTTGAGTACAAAATAAGTACTGTATTCTTTTATAAAGCACCTATATTTGAGTGCAGTGTACTTCTGTAATTTCTATGTGAAATTACAGTGATGTAAATGATAATATCCATGGAAGAAAAACATCATACTATAGGAGAAAAACACCATACTAAAGTACATTTCTGTTCCTTTGTTTTATAAAGTGCCAAAACAAATTAATTCTTTGGTTGCAAAACTGTTTCCATTGTAATGCATTGCTTCAGTCTTTATCATTTTGTACAATGTTTGTTTGTTCCATAGGGTGTTTTTTGAAAAGATTAAGAATGATTATTCAGCTTGTGAACAAGAAAGGGAAAAATAAAGGGCCAATTATTAATGCAGGCTTACTTATTCACTTTATGAATTAATCAGGTTATTTAATTTTTTTCCCCATTTCCCATCTTACTGTTTATCATTGACCTGCTTGTATGACCAAAAAGTTGATTAAGGGGAACTCTTGCTACATACCACCAGCTCTGGTAGAGAATATACTGAAACTAATGGTACAAAAGAGATTTGGGGATTCTCTCTGCCTTGGATTATGTTTCCAAGACATTTTAGTTTTGTACTGTTTAAATTTAAGAAAACCTAAAGTTGTTAGTTCATTCAACTTCTTAATTTTTGATCTGACTACTGTAGTGTCTAAAAAACTCTTTTGCTAAGCAAACATGTAAAACTAGATGTTTCCCAATAAACATTTATCACCAAACGTTATAAGTTATTCATAGTTATAGATAATATTATAAAACTCAGGTGCTTTTATATTGTTATAACAACAGACTTTTCCCCCAAAGTATTGGGTTGTCAGAAAAGTCAAGACATATTTTTTCTGTTTTTCATTGCAAAAATGCGTCCTGACTTTTCTGACAACCCAATATTTGCGCATTGGTAGTGGTGGAGTGAGTGGGGTAGAGTTGGGATAGGGCGTTGGGGTGGTAACTCTATACAAGACAGAAAAGAGATGTGGAGAAATATAAATGAGGATAGAAAGGTTTGTTTCCTATTTGCTTAAGGACAACTGTAGACCTCCTAGGGTGAAATGATGGGATGTCTTTAACATCCTCATCTGTGACTCCCCATGCCCAAAGAGATCATGACTTCTAAAGGAGAAAGAGTATCAAATTTGACTAGGTTAAGAAAGTTACTGATGACCCTAATAACTACAATTGTAACAAATAAGACTTTTTTGGTGAAATAATGGGATCAAAATGGGCAAAGAAAAACAAAATGATCTAGACTGAACAGCACTGTCCAACAAAGCTTTATACAATGATGGAAATGTGCTGTCCAGTATGATAGCTACTAGCCACACATGTGATTGTTGAGAGGCCTTAAAATGTGGCAAGTGACGGAGGAACTGAATTTTTAATTTTAATTCATTTAAATTTAAATGGCTACATGTGGCTAGTGGCTACTACTGTACTGGACAATGCAACTGTGAAATATGCCTTTCCATTCCTCTGAACCACCCCTCTGCACAAGACACAATCACTGTGAAAGAACACATGCCCTGTGAGAAAGCAGACAAATTTTTAACATTAAGATCACAAAGTTAAGCAAGGTAGAGAGGAAATATTATTTCCAGCTGTGAGGAACAGAATCTAGATGAAATGTTAGAGAAAATTAATACGAGGCAAACAATGAGGTTGAACCTTCCAGTGGCGATAATCTGTTTCAGATCTGCTTTGGGGGACTGCTTTATTTCTTTACAGTAGAAGATGCACATTAAGAAGTTTTCTGGTACTGCCCCAGAATTTCCCCAGATATCTATCGTGTGTGTAAGCCTTGTTGGTACGTATTTCATTTAAAAAAAACTGTAGCCCCATCTGCTTCATGAAGCCTTTTTTTTTTTTAAGTTAATCTGGCATTCTCTACACTTACAGAGTTAATGCCACATAATTTCACATCTATTTAGTATAAGTTTCTTTTTTATTAATTAGATTAGAAACTTGAAAATGGGCATTGTTACCTCTCTTAAATAATTGCAGTGTCCCCCAATAATGTGCTCAAATTTTAAATTATTTGCTTGCTTAGAGTGATTAAATAGGATGTCTCCATTTTTTTCCCAGTAGAAAATATTCTAGATTTTTCAAGTTGGCTTTTCTTTATGAACTTGAATTCATTTCATCAAGTTTAAACAGTGAGACCAATTCATTTAATTACTTTATTTCTTTATATAATTTTTATGTTTCCAAATTAAACTTTTGCTAACAGTTACTATTATTTTGAATGTGATTTAATTTAGGTACTTCATTAAAATACTAAGAAACTTGTGTGATTTTAAAAAATTATAAGTATGGTTCCTGGAAGCAGTGATTTATATATCAAGTAACTAATATGATAAGAGGTAATAAAATGTTGGGGTCGGTATTTCAACTTTTAGAATAACATGATTTTGCAATATTTTATATCTTCTAAATATATATATTTTTATCCTCTCTCTAGGTTTTTGCTTCAATGTCTTGAAGACCTTGATGCTAATCTGCGAAAATTAAACTCTCGGCTGTTTGTGATCCGTGGACAACCAGCAGATGTGTTTCCCAGGCTTTTCAAGGTAACTATGCATAAAATAATAATCTTTTGTCAAAGACACATATTTGGTAAAAAAGACGTTTTGGGTAATTTAAAGTGTGGGAAGTACAAGTTTTTTTAAAATGTTGTGGGTTTCCTTTATTTAATAAAAAAAGTTGCACATAATAAAATCAGACATTAAAAGAAGTGGTTTATAATAAAATATTAAATCTTTTTTTTTTATTAGTTTCAGGTGTACAAAACAATGTAGTAGACATTTACACCCCTCACAAAGTGATAACCCTCCCTCTAAAATTGTATATAGCTGTTACAATTCCATTGACTCTATTCCCTATGCTGTATTCCACATCCCGTGACCATATATGTGTGTGTGTATATATATATATATATATATTTAATTATAGTTGACATCAGTATTATTCAACTTCAGGTGTAGAGCACAGTGGTCAGGCATCTACACAATCTTTCTTCTACCTTAAATTGCTAGTTCCCTTCCCAGAAGTAACAACTACTCTGTTTCTTGTGTATTCATTAGAAATACTCTTTGCATAAATAAGAATGTATGTAAGTATGTATTTGTTTGTGTGTGTGTGTGTATCATCCCCCTTTTTAAAAGCCAAGATGGAAACACACTATATTACACCATTCTGTGCCATGCTTTATTTACATAACCATGTATTTTGTAAATTGTTCCATAGTACTTCCTCAGTTTTCTAAATGGCTTTTTAGTATTCCATTGTGTAGCTATGTTATAATTTCTTTAAAGAGGTTTCTATTGAACATTTAATTATTTTCCACAGGACTTTTGCTAATACAAATAATGTTTTCAGTGAACATCCTTGTCCAAGTATACATATCTTTGCTCATGTGTGCCATTACATTAGTGGGATAATTCTTAGGAGTTTCTGGGTCGAAGGCCTGTAACGACTGACATACTACGAATGAAACAAAATTGTGGGTTTGCTTTTTTTAAAAAACTTGGTAGAATCTTAAAAATCTCCTAGCCTTATTTCCCCCTTTTTTTCCAAATGAAAAAATTAGTACTAGAGTGGTTCAGTGAATTACCAAGATCATACAACTAGCTCATGGAAGTGCTAAGACCAAAATCTGAATTTCCTGGCTCTTTTTTTTTTTTTTTTAATTCATCCTTTCCTATTTACTCTCATTAGAATTCCTAATGTGTATCTGCTTTTTTTCTTGACGCTGTTTGATTAATCAAATTTTTATACTAGCAATGTTTCTTTTTCTAATGCAGAAGAGAACAGTTCCTTTTCCTGAATGAGAATGTCCCCAATGCTGGGAATCAAATCAACACTTCCCCAGCTTTTTTCCATTGTTATGAAAGAAACCTTTAATGTTTAGAGTTTGGCTAATGCAATAATTTGGGCTAGTGAAAATTTATTACATTAAAGTTTGTTTACTATTGTAGCTGCTTAGAGTCAGAATTTAACTTAGGAACATGGAAGAGTTCTGAGTAGAAAGCATATCAGAAACAATGGTAACAGTTTATCAGCAACTCATGATAAAGGATAATTGTGAGGATAATTGCTTCAACCCTCTAAATTCATATGGTATAAGTAAAATGAATCCTAAGAGGATTTTAGTTGCCTTAAAAATAAAAAAAACCCTTTTATTTACTTGTTTTTTAAAATCTTGTTTTAAGTCAACAAGTCTTTTGTGTCCTTTGTTTTGTGCTTTTTTCTGCCTAAAATAGCATATTATCAAACTGTCTTCTGCAGTTAGATGATGTCCTGTCTTGTGATTTTGCAGAGAGGCAATAGTTTCTACATGGGCCGTAAAATAGAGATACATAAACACAACCACATACACAGAGTGTTTATTATTTTATTCTGATTTTTCCTTGGACTACATACAGTAATCTGTATAAAATGCCATTTATGAAAACTTCCTTTAATATTTATTTACTCGGTTTAGAGCCATAGGAGGAGTTAATTTCTGTTTTATTGTATTGATTTTAAAAAAAATTTTGTTTAGAGGTGCTTCATGCATGTGTTTATAAAAAGAAAAGTTTAAAACAATATACAATAAAAGCAGGTCACTTTCCCACTCCTAACCTTTACATCCCCAGTTTCTCTGAGGGAAAAGATCCTTTTGTCCATAACTAGCTGACTCATTTACATTATTGTCTCTGGTTCTATTATTCTAGTACAGAAAATAAAATGTTTCATAGATAAGTATTCTATTTCAGAAAATAAAATTTTTCATAGATAAGTATTCTATTTCCCACATTGGAGGTAAAATTAGATCTGATAACAGTGCCTTTAGTTTATGGGGATGGTGACAGTGGTTCCATATTAATGTCCCCTCTTCTATGCATCTTCTCCTCTCCATAGCATTCACTCACTTTATTCCATTTATATTGAATAGATTTAGACATGGTGTCAGAGCATTTCTTTATACATGTATATGTCTGATAAACTGTTGTTTTTTCTGATATGTTTTAAACTTAAAATGTTTCTTAGCTAAATTCTGACTTAGTATAGCTGAAAAGATGATTAAAAAAACCCTTTCTCTTTTTGTGTTCTACTGAAGAAATGATAAAGAAACAGCAGACACTAGCCTAGGCAAAAGTTGGATGACACTATTAATCATAGGTATCTTACATAAATTATTATTATGATGAGGCAGTTAAATCTTGCATTTCCACATTTGGTACCAGGCTGGTAAGCTACCAAGACCATGCACAGTCTAGGCTCTGCAGAAACTTTTTATGAAGAGTTTAAAGTATTGGTTTAAAACGTTCTCATTATATCCAAGAAACAGACATATGGATAAAATCTTTATTGATGGACACACTGAAGCTTAAGATGTTTTGTTCAAAATCACAGAATAAATCAAAGAAGAACATATAAAGACACTAACATTTCTTTTTTTCTTTTTAAGATTTTATTGGGGAATTGGGGGAGGGAACAGCATTGGGGAATCGGGGAAGGGGAACAGACAAGTTGCTGTCCTTTTGTTCTTCAGTCT